TATGTTTAAAAAAGTTCAAAACAAATGGATGAACCGAATGGAAGAGAAGATAGCAGCAGCAAAATGGGGTCTCACTTGACGAAATTGGTAAAGTAGATAATCTAAGACTACTACGTGTTGTGCGACGTATCTCGTGCTGCTTGGCTCTGAATAGGGATGGGCAGAAGAGTCGCTTTGCAGGATTTGCAGCGATCACAGGTGGTGGCGGAGGCAATGGGAGAGGCGAATCTACCTCAGCCGAAATCGACTGATGCCGCAAATGCTGCTGGTGATGCCGCCTAATGATTGTACTTTCGTCTGCGCTTTCGGCAGAGATAACTGCAGGGGCAGTATTATTAGTAGATGCGATTTTGCTCTGGGCTAATCCATTTAAGACAGGTGAGACATCAGGGCTCTGCCTAACCGATATTGGTAGAGCCAAGGAGTCGGCAAGTGCTTGCGATTGATCGTCTGAGCAATCCGTGGCAGGGATTACCACTTCAAGGGAACAAGCTCCACCAACTGGATGCAGTCGTGATACTGCAGGCGTCACTCGGCCAGCTACCTTGTGGGCTGGCGCACCCAGTTCTGAAGCTTTCGAGACAGGCGGGTTGGAAGATGAGGATCGGATCTTAGAGAAAAATAGCCGATTGAAAAAGATAGAGCAGGATTACTAAAACGAATGGACCAGGAGACAGAGCTATCTAAATCACATATTATACTTCCAGGTACACACTGAAAATGCTGAAATATACAGTAAATGATGCTTGCAAAGGATAGAATAAGAATAAAAAGTGTGTAACAATACATAAAAAATGGATTCTTTAGCTTATTGGATTCTCAACTTCAAAGGAAAAATATAGTTTAGTGGATTCGTGAATAGTCGTTTTCAAGTAGGGTTCCGAGCCTACCAGTAGATCTTGAATAAGAATGGTCTTTACACTATTTCGTTTAGGGCAATGAAAGACTGTTAGTTAAATTTTTCCAAAATCACTTGAGTAGGCCTAACGTTTCCGATGAATTTCATAAATTAGATTATGAAAAGGCATCATCATCTAGAGAGGATCGCATATATGACTTCGCTCAGGCTCAGTAAGAAGTCGTCAGCGAACAATCCTACGATTCTGATTAATACTTAGCGCGCCTTCGTCCGTTCCACCATGGTAGACATCGTCAGAGCAAGAAGAAATCATTAGAGAAAACCCACCAAACACTGGGCTAAATAGGGCTAACTGCGACCTTATGAACTTATTATAATTTATGTCTGAAATATCAATGAAGCATTCCATGATTTGGTTGGTTACTTAATGCGTCCACTCTCATACTTGCAGATGTGTGAATATGGCCGAAACATGTGTTGCTTAACTAAGTAACCCATAGCGTGGTATCGTAATGTTAATGCGTGCCATGTAAACTCGGTTGATTTTAAGTTAATTGGGAAATAAAAGACAAAACCAAACTAGACTAATCAATGTGAGTCGTTTTTGAGAATACCAGTAATCCGTAAGTAATAACTTGGTCAACCAAAGCCACTTAAGGTGATTTAAGGATTGATAATTTGCCACAAGGATCGACCACGTGTACGTCTCATTATCCTCCCTAGCGGAATCTGATACCAAAAAGTGAGTATAATGATGAAATTACCTATCCACTACACGTCCACGGGTGCTAATTAGTAACGGGGCGAATTTGAAGTTCAAGG